CCATCCATCCGTAACTCCCTTGTCTTTTAGTATCTGTGTCCACGGAATGCTGCTCAGCGTTTCCTTCATTTCCTTCCTCCTTGCGATCCTCTCAGGGGTCTCAACCCCAGGTTGAGAAATGTTGCCTGAAGGCCATCCAGTCCAACTTCCTTCACCAGGGGAAGAAAACTTAATCAAAGCCTTCTTGACAAAGAGCCCTCCAGCCGTAGATATTGATAGATATATATGATTCACACAAACACACACTTTATATAGGACATTTTATATAGGACACATCATATTATTATGCCATTGCATACAATGGGACTTGATCATTCAAAGATATCTGTATCAATGGGTGGATCTTAGAACTAAACCTCAGCGGATACCAAGTGTCCTCTGTGTTGTGTATTTTAATTCCTTGATTGTCATAATATCAGATCAGAAGTTCAGAGTTGTTCCTCATTGAAAATCCCTCTCCCAGATGCTCTTTGCCCAAACTGATGTAGAGAAGGGCTTATAAATGTAAAAAACTGATAGGCTACGGAAAATAATTACTGTTCTGGAAAGCATGTAATTTTCACATGTGGCTATTGCCTTTGTGTTTCATAGACTGGCTGGTATGAATTCTATGGAGAAAAGGGCAACTGGTTTCTTCTGTCCTTCAATTTATTCAGTTTCACTGTGGGTGGCTGTCTATCTACCAAAATAATAGTACTTTTAAACAATTCATGCCTATTTGTGTCTACACGCTGTATCATTATCTCAGCTCTTCTTTATTTGTTTTGTTTCTGGTTGTTTTTTTAACAGATGAGAATGGTAAAATGAAGTGGAGTTCACCTTAAGGCAAATATAGTGCAATAATAATAACAGTAACAATGATAATGATAAAATATTATTCAACTCTAAAAAAAAAATAGAATAGACCCCCCAGGTTGCCCGGACAGGGGAAGCGAACACTGTTTTCTCCCCTGTTCTGTTAACAAACAAGTTGTATTGACTATGTATGCTTAGCGCTTTGAAGAAAACAGCCACAAAACCCCTCAACAAATAAGTAATTTCTTGTTCATGATTTGTCAGTACTTGGAGTCTTCTCTGGGCCAATCTGGGGCTGGAGAAGGGAACTTTTAAAAATCCCTTTAAGATTAATAAACAGAGTTCAATACAGATTGCGTATTCATTATCCAAAAAACTTAGGACCAGAAGCATTTTGGATTCATCCCCCCCCCCCAACATTTTAAGGTAAAGGTAACCCTGACATTAAATTAAGTCCAGTCGTATCCGACTCTGGGGGTTGGTGCTCATCTCCATTTCTAAGCTGAAGAGCCAGTGTTGTCCGTAGACACCTCCAAGGACATGTGGAGTGCTGTTACCTTCCTGCTGCAGCGGTACCTATTGATCTATTCACATTTGCATGTTTTCAAACTGCTAGGTTGGCAGAAGCTGGGGCTCACACCGCTCCCCGGATTCAGACCTGTGACCTTTCAGTCAACAAGTTCAGCAGCTAAGCGGTTTAACCTACTGGGCCACTGGGGGCTCCCCCCCCATTTTGGAATATCTAATTTTGCATGCATGTACATATCAAGATATCTTGGAGATGGGAACCAAGTCTAAATCCTTATACACAAAGAGCCTGAAGATAGTTTTATATACTGTACACAATCTAGATAAATGAAAATGTAATGTTTGTTTGTGGGGTTAACATAACTCAAAAACCACTGGATGAATTGACACCAAATTTGGACACAATACACCTATCAGGCCAACAGGTGACCATCTTCTGTATAAATAAAAATGCAATGTTCGTTTGTGGGATTAACATAACTCAAAAACCACTGGATGAATTGACACCAAATTTGGACACAATACACTTATCAGGCCAACAAGTGACCATCACTCATAAAAACAATGAAAAACACAGCAAAAGAAACTTTAAAAGGCAAAACAAAAATTACATCACAACACATGCGCAAAACCACATATATATAAACAC